GATGAAATTTTGTATTTAGTGTGTGCTTGGAGTGTATCAACATTTAAGCAAGGGGGAAGTAGAAAGAGTGCTTGAAAGAAGCTTAAAGAGTGCCTCCCAGTGACCAGGGAATCACAGCTGACCCTTCAGGAAGCTTTGGCTTGGTTTGCCAGCCCAGGTCACTTGCAGTATCCTGTCTTCCTTCCTATCTGTGGGCTTTTTGCTTATTCTTTCCTATCAGACATAGTTCTTAAGACTCATTTTATGTACGGTTTCTGAGAGCTGAAGCACAGCTGACCTGTTTCAGTGCAGGTCTTGGCTTCCCTTTTCCCCTCCCTGCGTGAGCTTGCTCTTCAGGACGGTTGAACCTCTGTTGGAATTAACAGCCTTGTAGCAAAGTGTGGGGCAGCACAGTTTTTACTGAGCAATGACTACTCACTTCCAACTTTGACCTCCTTCCAAGGCTTGATAGCATTGGGAAGTGAAGTTGCAGCTTTATTGTTTCATAACGCAGCGTCATTCTTGCTCAGATATTTGCACTACAGTGTCTGCCAAAAGTAGCAGGGGAGTGGTTTGCCTTTACCTTGTTTTTTCGCTACAGGAAAAAAAAAAAATGTCTGAGGAAGCATTGTAATAGCTAAGCCAGGGGGGAGGAACAGGTAATTTTTGCAAAGACTTGCAGGCAGTTATGATTTGAGGCCATATTCACTCCCAGGTAATGGGTAATGCTGTAATGTATGGAGAATCCCGAGCTAGCCTCTAGATTATGATGCACTTTGCAGTCTCTTCTGCCAAGAAGTCCTTTTAAGTTTTGGTTTTTTGTATTCTAAAGTATTCAGAAAGTCCTTTATGCTGGTGCCTCGTAAATTGCTTTGAAATGCTTCAGTGGATCTGGAGGAAGGGACTAGGTGAGATGATGATTTCCTGAACAACTTTGTTGTTGTGGTGATCAGTGTTTTTTCCTCCACACTGATCTACAAACTAATTATGTCTGAGAGATATGCTTTACCCTGCTTTTAATCATAGCCTTTTCTTCCAATGTAGCTGGGAGCATAGCTGTTCCTGCTTCAGAACAGAGATAAAAGGAAACAAGTACCACAGCCATATCTGCAAATGAATTGTGTCTGGCAGCAAATTAAACTGTTAAACTAATCCCAAATTTGAATTGAATTTATTTGTAACTGACAGGCTTCCAAGACAATTTTGTCCTCGAGGTTAGATCTGGGCAAGCCCAGGCTAGGAAACTGTACCACACAAGATAGAAGTGTTAGTTGGGGTTACTTAAGGAAAGTAAACTTTGCTGCTTTGGCTGATGCTCCCGTTAGAGCTTTACTAGTCTTCTACTTTAATGTGAAGATACCCAGATTTCAGGTATCACCACCAACTCCTTAGCCTCCAGTCAAACTCTAAATTTTCGCAGACTTGTCTGTCCTCTCTTTTATTCCTGACCATCTCTTCCAGTTGCTAGTATCTACTATGGGATCCCAGTTTTCACCTCTTCCTTCTTCTCTTCTCTCCCGTTTTCCCCTGAGTTGTGAACCTCCTTCCCTGCACTGATTTTGGGGATTGAGCTGTGATAACCTGTGTGAGGGTGCTTTGCTTGCAGGTCTGCTGCAGTTTGCACCAACTGTAGTGCCTGAACACAGCCTGGATCTTTCCTTTCTTACGTATACTGTTAGTGCACAAAGCTGAGATTCCTTAATCCATTCTTTCTTTCCTAGCTGTCTGATTTTGTGGAAAAAGTTGATAGAGGATAATACAAAACTTTATTCCGTGGTAACTTAATGGGCTAGACCTATGTCCTATGGGACAAGAAGGACATCAAAGTAAATGCTCTCTTGGACTTAAATTTCAGTAAAAGCTTTAATGGTTGTTTGGTAAGAATGTCAGGCAGAAATGCATCACCTTAATTTTTTCCTGGGACTTTCTAGAAATGAATTATTTTTAATCTTTTTATTACCATCATGTACTGTCCTTTCTCAAGTTTTTATTATAGCTGCCTCTTTTCATTAATGATTATAATGGTCTATGAAACACTTCATAGAGAAAACACACTAAAAATGTATTATTCAAACCCACTGACAACAAAGTAGTTTTACAGCACAGTGGTTACTGCTCTTGTAGCTGAGATGGTGGCTATTACATGCTTGCTCCAGTGATGCTTTTACTGGGCCTCACAAATGTAGCATCACTGCTGTTCATGCTTTCAGGTTCTTTAATATGCTTAAGCAATGTAGTTCTTAAACGTTCTCATGATTTTAAATCTAAACACACAAAATTATATTGATTTGTTAACCTGGAAATTGGTTTGTGAATCCATTGATCAAGCAAGTGTCTGTGTTCTGTTTTCTGTTTGTTTGGTTTGGGGCTTTTTGTTTTGCAGCCTACAGAAAACATCCCTAGCCTTGAAGTGGCTATAATAATGCAATTTCAGTAGAAGGTGACAAGTGGTCAGCAGAAAATTTATCCTGTTCCCAAAGTTAGGCCTAAATGTAATAAAAATGTTCCAGTGAAATTATTCTTTTGGTATTGTTTGTAGGGATCATAGCTCTGCAGAAAGATCTGTGTACCACAAAAAGTAGAAATTTTTGGAAGGAATGCGAAGATTGGTGTGGATAGGAGGCCTGAGTTGGAAGCACCAGAAGGAACAGCAGAAGATAGGAATGGCCAATAGTGATGGCACCTAGATTTGCAGATCATCAGGATTATAGCACATCTTTGTGCAGCTTCTTAGAGGACCAGATAGGGAAAACAAAGGACAGCTTAAAACAAGGGACAGCATCCTCCCCTACTCAGGTTAAAGTGAAGAATCAAGCTGTTAAGGGTTGATGGTGGGAATGTAAAGAACAGGGTTGGAGCCCTGAGGCATACAGAGGAAAGAGCAGGGAGTCACTATTGAAGGCTCGCAGAGGTGGGACAGAGTGGAATACAAGGCATTGCTGCATCACGGTTGGCTCCCTGGGGGTACAAATGGCACACCATCGAGTGGCTGCCAACCTAGCCAGCAACCTTTGTCCCCAGTCATTCCTGGCAGGAGAACTGGAGTCCCTGCGCCTCAAGGCAGGACACACTGCCGGGACAAACACCTCTGAGTGCTTGCGAGCGAGCAGGATCAGCCTTGTGTTACTCCAAACTCACCTCACCTTCTGCTCCTCCAAGCCCCTTTGCTGAGTGTGCTTTGTTGTTGCTGCAGTCGCAATATCTTTTGTCGCTGAAAAGTACAGATGAGCACCGTTGATACCAAAGCAAATGCAGCAGCTGATGGAAAAGCCAGGGGACTGCCATCTGCCTTTTGTTGTTGTTGGTTTTGCTAAGAAAAAGCATTTGCAAGTGAGATAGCAATTGCCACAGATCAGTTTTCTGTGACCTTGGTTGTTCTTGAAGTATGTGGCATGTGAGGAATGCTGGTTTTGGCTGCTCACTTAACGAATGCGGGATGCTTTGGCAGGGAGCTTGATGATACTTCCTGCATTTTGTGAAAGACATATGTGTCCTGATACAGGTGATTTACCCCGCGTGCACTCCTAATGCAGGAATCCTTCACCTGTGCTGTGTTTGTTTCTCATCGAGGAACTAGGAATATCCCTGGTTCATCGCAGGAAGTTACTGAGTGCCTATGAGTTTATGGGTCTGGTGGCTCTTGCTTTTATGTAAATAATGGAGAGCTTGCCCTGTTCTCCCTGGTCCTTGCTTGTGTGTCTGTAAAATGTTTTATTTTCTCAGGTCACTGTTCCTAATTACTGCTTTTGCCTTCAGGTGTTTTGTAGTTAAACATGCTGCTACGTATTGGTCTCTTTACACTTACCACCCTTCAAACTCTACATGAATACTTCCACAAGAAGAATAAAAGCTGAAGGCAGCTAGTCCCTGGGCAAAGTTTTCTCACATGCCACATGCCTCATTGCAACACAGTTGAGGCAAACTGCCAACTCTTGTTACTATTTCGTACCGTGGCTCTGCAATGCACAGAGATCCCAGCATGCAGAGCCGCAGCCACACAAGCTCTGATCCTTTGGTGCAGGTACTGAGAACAGTGAACATGTCAGAGCACAGAACTCTTACGAGCTTTAGGGCTGGACTAGTAAAACGTTATTTCAAGAAACTCCTGCTCCAGAGGATAGTTGCGGTCTCCAAACTGCAGTATTTTGTGGTTTCTAGGACTGTGGGGGTTATGTATTTAGCTTGGCATATTGCAGAACATTTCTGTGCAACCGGCTGGGTGCTGAATTAGAGTGGTCTGTAAGGACGATCTTGGGTGTGCCTTGTGCCAGGTTTATTGAGGGTTTACATTGCTCCTGAGGAAGGGGACTGCGGTATCTGCTCTGTTGATAAAAACAGATGTCTTCACCTTCTAGGAGCTGTGTCTGACTGAACGAGTCCAGCCACCAGCTGACAAGGGTGCAGAAGGTTTTTGACTGGCGTTATCAGCAGAAGACACAGGTTTCCACCCGCCTGCTCTAAGTATAAACTTCTCTTTATTTGCCCTTGTTGACGCACTTGCTTATAGGAAGGAAAAAGGGGCTGTGAGGGTAAAACGAATGCAAGTGATTTGTTTCCATCTTGTATGGAAAATGCTGATGACAATGTGCTCCCAGTTCCAAGCCCTGAGCTTGGCAACTGGAGAAGCATTTTCTTTCAACATTCGGGGTGTCACAGGAATGGGTCTTTCTTAACTGTATAGTTTTCACTTGTGTCACCGAAATCAGGAAGAATGAACCTCGTAACACCAATGTAGTGTTAGAAGGCAGGCATTCTTTATTCTCAGCGCCAGATGCACGGGGGATCGCTCCACCTAGCGTGCATACCATCACGCGGCAACTTGCCCGTTTATATGTAGCAAAGTATTACATATGTATGAAGTTTTCCGATATGCCTATACATATGCATAACCTGTCTCCGCTTTGTATTAAAATTAGCTTCAGGAGGTCATTTCCATAAGTCCCTCCCCACTGCGCCTGCTCAGTGCCTCCTGGTGGTGGTCGTCGGGGGTCGTGGGGATGAAGGCCGATGGCTCCTCTTCGTCACCGCTAGTAACCCCTTGTTCTTGCGCAGACTCAGTTGCTCCTTGGCTCTTGCCCAAACTGCAGGGTCGGTGTAAACCAGTTCTTAAGGTAAACTCCTGGTTCTTATCAAAAACTGTCCTTCGTAAGGAGCCACAAATCTTCCTGCGTCAATTAGTTCTCGTTCCTTCTAGTCTAGCAACCTTGGCAAACCGTTATTATCCTTTTGCTTCATCCCCTCCCGATTCTTCCCGTCCTTGAATAGGGTTCTAAATTTACTAAGTAACTATACTACAGACTTCAGAGAAACATCCAAACTAGACACTACTTACTTTAGAAAAACATCCAAACTAGACACTACTGATTTTAGCAAAGCAACAGCAAATTAGACAATAAGGCCTAAATCTTATGCATATAAGCCGCTTACATCTGGGGGTCTTTTGACCCTTAAGGTATCGTTTCCCCCCTTTGGAAGTTTTGAAATAATTATCTTTTCAATACTTCCATCTTAAATCAACGTTTCACTGCTAACGATTCAATTTACTTATTACATGATGGTGGGAGCGTTGTGATCGAATCATTCAAATCTTGTTCCTTGGCTACTGCTTGTATGATTAACTGGTTGAGGGCAGTTTTCTTAGTGAATTCCTTCTTTAGACAATAGTAAATAACTAGTATTGCTAAGAATACTATTAACAATAGCAACACAGTACTAATCAAGGTTTTTAACCAGGTACTCAAATTCCATACTAACCCACTGAGAATTTTACCTAGCCAATTTTCTTGCATATCCTGTTGAATTCCTTGGGTATCTTTTTCTATTTGTCCCAGTAAACTCAAATCATGTTCAACATCTTGGGTGACATTTGGGATGTGTATGCAACAATGATCCATCTTATCTCTCAAATATCCGCAAACTCCATCTTCCTTTAATAAGAGCATATCCAAAGCCATTCTGTTTTGTAGGGTCATCCTTGAGGTCGCCTGTAATTGTAAATTTAGTTGTTTGAATCCCTTACTTATTACGCTAGCCAATTTCTCTACCTGACCAGTTAGTCTATACAACGAAGCCCTATTCTTGTAGGTTGATAAGGGAGTCAGTAAAGATTCTAAAGCCCATCCAATTTTTACTCCTGTCGAAGGTTCATTCCATTCTGCATCATCAATTTGTGATCTCTTTGTTTGAATTAATTTTAAATTTTCAGAGCTCCCTCTAAAGGGAGCCTTTTTCCAAATTGGACATAAGGTTGGCATTCCTAAAGTATTTGTTTCACCTTTCCATTCACCGGTAAGTGTGTAGACCAGGTTCCATCACTCTCTGCCCTCAATCCTGATAGATTTGCCTTTACTCTAAACAATCCTCCCATCATCATCAGTCTCCAGATTAGAATCCTTTTTTCCCATGTTTTACAATGATATCCCCCACTTTTAAACGTGTTTTAAAGTCAATTTTGCAGTCTCTGGATCTCTGTTGACGATTTTCCATGCAGGGGCCTTCTTCACTCGAGTGTAGTGCATCCATGGTTCCACTCCTTTCACTTTAATTGCAGTATAAGTTGTTAACAGTACCTCGAAGGGTCCCTTCCACTTCTCCTGCAGTGGTTCAGAGTCTCATGTCTTTATGTACACAAGATCACCTGGCTGATACTGATGTGCAGGCGTATCCAAGGCAAGCGGTCTAGCTAGCAGTATATGTCTTCATAGGGCTCCAAGGACTTGTCCTAAAGAAATCAAATACATTTTCAAATCTGTTTCCCCTGCTACCTTCATATCCCCTGGGATGAGAGGAGTCTGGTAAGGTTTGCCATATAAAATTTCATATGGACTTATACCATCCTTAGATCTTGATTGGATTCTAATTCTCAGGAGAGCTAATGGTAAGGGCTGTGGCCATTTTAAAGACGTTTCTTGACAGATTTTACTTACTTGTCTTTTCAATGTTTGGTTCATCCTCTCAATTTTCCCACTTGATTGTGGTCTCCAGGGGGTATGCAGGTCCCATTTTATACCCAAAATTTTGCTAATTTGTTGAACCATATTCGCCACAAAATGTGGTCCTCTATCAGAGGACATTCCTATTGGCACCCCAAATCTCGGTATTATTTCCTTCCACAATATTTTAACTACTTCGCTAGCTTTGTTGGTGCGGCAAGGGAAAGTCTCTGGCCATCCGAAAACGTATCAATCAACACTAACAAATACCTATATCCATTTTGTTTGGGTAGTTCAGAAAAATCAATTTGCCAGTAATCTCTGGGAGAGTTTCCTTG